TAAACCAAGAGTTAATGAAATCTTTCTGAGGATAATCTCTGAAAAAATTTCAAATGTAAAGGTGGGAAATTCTTCGTAACTCACTCATGGAAATAAAATAATTTGCGATTTAAAGACGCTCCCTGGATTCCATTCAAGAGTTAGGATGAATCAATGTTGAGCTGCTCTCAAGGAATTACAAAAAGATAGACCAATTTTGTCATTGTATTCATACGAGTATCATCAACGCCTCGATCCAGGCTCAAACTGGCCCTGTGCTGTTTACAGCCTCCACGACTATTCTGTATGAGCAAGGTGCTTTCCAGTGAAGTTTACGGCAGAATTTATTTTTTGCTTTGGTTTCAACTAAAAATCATTTCTGTAGACTCCAGTTGGCGGCAATTTATACCAATTACGATAGTCACTAAATGTATCTGGTGGACTAACTGAACCAGTTGTGAAAACCAGGCCATCCCAGGTGTCCATTGGAGTGGAAGAGTGCGGTTTACCCAAAGGCGACACCATCGTGGACATTAGGCCTATTCAAATGTACCGGCCGGCTATAGATGAGTTTGTCATATGATAGACAATGGGTCTGCAGAACGAGGCGCCGAGGAGTACAAGCAAGAAAATGATCATTCCTTTTGGCGTAATCAAAACAAGCCTAAAGCAAAAGGTGCTCTATTATGACCAGACATTAAAGTCATTGTGTCATCATCACTGTTATTATTTTTCCTTTTATGTTTGTCAGTCGGGCAGAACTCCCGTATGGGCAGCATTCTTTAACAGCTGGACAATGCTTTCGACGCCTTCCCTTAAGAAGACATGTTATTTTCATCAAATCCTCAACAATCCACCCGATTCTCATCCCAAGCATGAGATTGAGGCTGACGACGATGGGGACGGAGTCATCATGCCTGCCTGACCTATTCTCGTAGCATAATCAATCCTATTCTTGCATCCACATTTGGTGGGTCTGGAAAGGCCATATAACAAAAAGGAATCATTAACACATTATGGAGAAAAAATATTTCATTATTTATATGCGCACAAAGTAGATCACGAAACTAACAGTAAATTTGGCTAAAGAGTGACAGTAATCACAGGTCACATAAGATGATGACGAATTGGTGAATTTTCCCACAATCCGTTGGGTAGACCTCACGTTTGCAAAAGGCATTAACATCTAGACTGGTGACCATAACTCTTATTTTTCATACTGTGATGATTCATTGATCCTGTAGTCTCGTATCATATCCCCAAAAGGCATCGTGTTTTGCATTATGAGGCGTGTTTAGGTTACCTTACGAAAAATTCTACAGATGTGTTTTGAAGAAGCTCGTAGTTCATAATTGTTGGGCTCATTTACAGTTGAGTAAAAGTGTATGATAAAAAGCTTTGAAGGTCGCGTCCAGTAGAAGATGAAGGCATATTCCTCTTGACGAGCTGTCAATTAGCCTTGCTAGAATATTCTTGCTGAAGCTGTTCCCGAAGCAACCTCTTTGAAGTAAGGAGAAAACGCTCTAAGTTTTCGTCCGTCATATGACGGATATCCTCGAAGCAAAGTATCATTCTTACAAGCATGTTCAAGACAAAGGACTCAATAAAACTAATCTTAGGCGAAAAATGTAACCAAGTTCTACTTGATAAATAATTTAAATTTTCCAGCTAGACTAATACCAAAAATCTAGATATTCGTCAAGAGGGGAGTAGCATTTGTTATGTTAATGTCAACATAATAAGTTGTCAAGATGTATCAATGCCGCCTGATGTCCTCTATCAACTCGCATGTAGAGTGAGGAATTTTGCATCAAAAAGTAAAATAGGATTTGGTGCTGGGTACCTATCAATTCGTTTGGAAAGGCCGCTGAAACGGATTCGTAAATTGGTTTCACTGTAAGATTTTGAAAAAAGGCTGGGCTTATGGCCATGGAACGCCGATAAATCTGTGGATAGCGTCAGAGACAGAAACCATCATTTACGAAAAATTTCCCAGCTTCTCTTCCCGTCTAAAAACTCTATTCATCCTGAAATTCTCTATTTTGTCGAAGTATCGCAAATCCATATTTCGGATCTCGTTTGGAGTGTTGATGAAAGAGTAATTCTGAGTCTATACTACACTAACCTCGGATCGACATATTTGCAAACTCTAGGAACAACAAGTATCGTTTAAAGAGCAGACTTGGTTGGGAGCAGCTCAAAACATTAATCAAATATTGAGCGCATAATTATGGAAAAAATCCGTCCATTCATAGTCCCCTCTCGAAAGACTTGATGCGCAATTATCTAGGGACTTGAGTATCTGTTGGTCGTGAGTCATGCAAGTTGACATGACATGGCCTCCTGAATCACAAAGAGGACCATAAACAAAAAAGGGAAACCATTTTGTTTCCACGGAATCGAATTTGGCTTAATGTATGTTGAGAAAGAAGAACGCAATAATGAAGATAGGCTTAGGCGAAATTTAATTCGAATTATAGTAGTAGGAAAGATAAACTACCGTTTGCTAGGACAATTTTCAAAGAAATAAGGCATTCAATGTATTTAGTCTATGCCTTCTTAATAGACGTATGTCATAGTAGGGTAGAACGAAGTTTATGAGATATGGATTTGCATAAGAAGCTTGACTTATAATTATTGTAAGTCCTCAGTAGATCAACAAGTCGACGCTTGTACTGGGATTAGCTACGCTTGAGGGAGCTTTTACCCACTAGCCATGAAATCCATTAATTCCTAAGGATCAGTTTACTTATACATTAAAATTATTCATTATTCGGTTTCATCCGGAGGCTGTCGGAGCTTGTTATAGACGAGACAAACCAGCAAGTGTGAGACAAGCGCCTTAGATGTGATTGAATAGAGCATCCGATAAGAAGGATAAAATATAATTGTACTTTGATAACAAATTGTATTCGTTTTGCAGAAGTTGATCGCACATTCCCTTTAATCTTTAATGATCAACTAGGCACCGAAGTCCTCAAGAGATCCTTTAATTTTATGTTTTTTTTTTAAACCTATACTGATTTGACTTTATTTAATTGGCCAAAAGCACACATTTGTTATAAGGTTATAAAAAAATAAATGGTTGGATAATCTGTACATACGTTAGAACCGAATTAATAGAACTATTTTCAATTAATTAGTGCATCCTCAGCTACCTTTCAGGAGGCAGAGTTACCCCGTATTCTTAGTTATTTTATTGCTCTCCTGATACCTCAAAAGCGAATGCACTTCGAAAATAGTTACACCTAAAATTGAAAAATAATCGGTTAAAAAGTTTGCCATACTCATATGAAAAATGTATCTTGCCTTTTAAATCCATTTAGTGCATATTTATGATTGCATTTTAATAATATCGAATCACGTCTACTTTATATTGATGGGGGGCTGTTAACGGAAATGGAGATGGGGAATTCACCATCATCTTCTATTTGGATATACCTTCAAATCTATTCAAGACACACTTTCCCTAAAAAGGAGAGTGAGTATTGTATGAGGCAGAAATTTCAGCTGATTTTCGCCAGAACCAAAGAAGGATTTCTTTTTCACTGTATTAACCTGAGCCTCATAGTAAACTCAAATGTCTCCAGGGCAACGGGAATCATAAGTGTTTTTTTATTGCGAGATGGAGATATGAATCCCATCATTTTGGCAGTTTCACATTAAATATTAGCCGCTAAATCAAGAATCTTCTGCTAAACTCGATGTATCTTAAACAAGTTGATGTAAGCACCTTTCACTCATCCTATCTAGGATAGTGATAACTCCAAGAAGTAAAAGCTAGAAACCAGACTATATTCGAAAAATCCAGGTGAAATTCAATGCAGAACCAAAGCCTCTTCGTTAATTAATCTTGGGAAGAATCACTATAGCTCGTAAATATTATTGGCTTAAATTAATTGATGGTCTCAACAAATCAGTTACACT